GTATTACCATTGACACATTGTGTTCATGGCTTGTTCAAGCCAAACTTTCCCCGCGATAGTCATATTTGAAGTGGGGCAAAACGGGACCTTTTGTGTCCTATTGTCCCCCGAGTGCCCATTTTGCCTCAACCATTCTGCCTCACGGACGCCAACAACACAACATGATTCGACACGCAACGAAAACTGGCCAGAAATATTCACAATTGCTCACAAGGAATCTGCATGCATACACCATCAAAGCGCAGCAACTTTGAATTCACGATTCATTATACTTGTAGAATAAACAACGTTCAAATCACCATAAAAAATAACAAAAAATGGAAAGCGAAAGCTCACGTCCCCCTCCAACGACGGCCGCCGGCAGAAAGGCTCGGCGCACGTCATTTCCGTCCCCTGTCAGAGAAGCTTTAGTTTAAACCATTGATTTCCGATGGCGCCACCTCTAACAGTCGAAATCGCAGGGTGTCCGTTTTACCAGCGTGCCTCATTTTGCCCCGTTTTCCCCTAGATATGCTTATCAATACGTTTTTGTTAGATTTTGTCATTGCACTTTGCACAACACTGATCGAGAGCCAATTGACGGTCGTTTAATCTGGAAATCGTGCTCACGAACGCCAGACATGGGCGTGTCAGAAATTATATATTGATATGGGCTCTGATTGACGCACGAGTAATGGAATGACATAATTTGAATGACGTTATCATTACGTCATGAATGCATGGGTGACTTTGAAATAGTGTAGTCGAAATAGCCTGCAGGGGTGTGTATCTTTGCGGGTGTGTAGCCCAGAAACTAGCGGGGTTTAGGTATTGCAGAGAGCAGGACTACGAACCACACCGGATGATCTTCAAGGTGGCTATTTCACTCCAAAATCCCATACAAATGTGGAGCACTCCTGTTAATTGGTGCTTTACGTCCATATCGGGGTAATAAGTAGCGAGCACTGCGTTGTGCTAATAATCGTAATGCCCCACATGATAATGCATCGTACCACCGCGGCATCAACATTGGTATCAACGCTAACAGAGGTCGTCGACCCGAACGCCAGCCGGATCAGGTGTACCTGAAGGCAGCATATGTGGCTCATTACCCTTCATAAATGCACATGTTTCACTGTTGGCATTCCGCTTAGCGTGGCTTCTGACTGTACAATCTTCGCCGACAATGTAAAACCCCATCATCGAGTTAACTACCCAGAAGATGTATGCGCACTGCAACAGGACAGCACACCTGGCTGGTGGCATTCATGACACTTAGAAATGAGCCCTGGCATTCCTAGCATCTGGTCATGAGATGTAACACCACTCGAAACCTCTCTCACTGACTTCTCTAAAGTCTCGAGTAACCCAGGCGTGCACGTAGGCCCCGGTGCCGTTCTTAAACACCGGTCTGACGCACGAGATCCACCACTAGACTGTCGGCACAGTCTATGGTCTCGGAGTCGTACTGGGCTCGAAGCTCACTTTCACCCGCCATTTGGATGCTGCGGTCAGCAGCTCGAGACGACTGCCGCGTCTCATTATCCACCAAGTGCAAGCACCTGTCCACGAAGCGCACACCTCGGCCATAGTGCGATGCTTGACATGTTCAGAGCGCACATTCGTTGAGTGATTGAATATCGCAGCGCTGTTTGGTCAGCTGGTTTAGTCAGTATGGTTAGAGACGGGCCGAAGCAGCATTGTTTGGTCAGCTTGTTTGGTCAGTTTTGTTAGAGACAGGCCACAGCCACCTTGAGCGGCACAAATTCCTGACCTGGCTGAACTTGTTGCTCAGACAGTTCACTCCAATATCTTGGCTACGCTCATCTCCCAGAACACTTCGAGGTCCCCTTCGCAAAAGCACAACTTCACCAAGATAATCTCTTGTTCATTTGCAGCGTGCAAACGAACATGAACAACACAGCGGACATCTCTGCAGCTCATGTCTCGCTTTCCTTCCATTTTTATTCGTACATGGGAAGAAACAGATGCTCTTTCTCACTTTGGTACTCTCGTCCGAGTCAAACCGCTTCAGAACTTCTCTTTTTACCATTAAAGCTCAAAACTTATAAGTCCCCTCTACACTGCACTCCTGACCACGTTCTGGTCTCTCCAGCACTTTTACTTTCAGTCCATAGATCGATTACCTGTCGCTCAGTTTTATTGCCGCCTGGCCTACTTTCCAAGTCGTGTCTCCTCTTGTCTTTCTTGCAGCCTCCATGGGATCACGTTCCGACGGCTGATGGATTGCATGCTACACGCGTCGCGCGCATTGTTCTGTTGACAATTTGCGCTGCGTACGGTCACCTTTATGATGCGAGTTCACCTGTAACGGAGTGCCGTACCTGTTAGCCCTCATGGAATAACCATAAGCATATGAATATACATCATCTAAGCCGCGGCTGATGTCCGTGATCTCAACCCAAGGGTCAAGGCAGACACTGGCATGTTGTAGTGCGTGAGTAGAGAATACACTTCGCTTGTACTCTCTATTCAACTCCTTCATCATTCAGTCTCCATCCGTGATTTGTAAGATAATTATGTCACTGGTTCTATCCTTAACACAGCGCCCGCTCTTGCCATGCCGCTCTAGATCTCACGATGTCGTCGATAAGCTGGGCAAGTGCACACGAACAGCCACCCTCAGCCCTCTCTTCCGTATTAAGCACGGAGCATATCAGTCATCTTTGTTTTGCTGCGTCCTTGCGTCAGCTGTTTTGTCGACCTCGCTGCCGCCTGCTCGCGGTCAGCTGCAGACTCAGCACGCCGCGGCGCGCTCCCATCGTACGCCGCGGCGCGCTCCCATCGTACGCCGCGGCGCGCTCCCATCGTACGCCGTCCCGGTGAGGCACAGAGGTCATCACCACCGGCTGGTCGACACGGAGGTCGACCCCACCAGTCGGTGGGCACGAAGGTTGTAACCGCCGGCTGGTAGGCACAGAGGTCATCACTGTCGGTCGGTGGGTTCGGAGGTCATCATCGCCGGTCGGTAGGCACAGAGGTTATCACCGCCGGTCGGTGGGAACGGAGGGCCGTCACCACCCTCCTGGAGGTGCGGAGGTCATCACCACCAGTTGGTAGGTATGGAGGCCCGTCACCGCTGGCCGGTAAGTACGGGGGACCGTCACCACCCGCCAGTAGGTACGGAGGGCCATCACCACCGGCCCGTAAGTACGGAGGGTCGTCACCACCCGCCAGTAGGCACGGAGGGCCGTTACCACCCACTGGTCGGTACAGAGGACCGTCACCACCGGTTGGTAGGTACGGAGGCCCGTCACCACCGGCCGGTAAGTACAGGGGACTGTCACCACCCGCCAGTAGGCACGGAGGGCCGTTACCACCCACCGGTCGGTACGGAGGGCCGTTACCACCGGTTGGTAGGTACGGAGGTCCGTCACCACCGGCCGGTAAGTGCGGAGGCTCTTCACTACCCGCCAGTAGGCACGGAGGGCCGTTACCACCCACCGGTCGGTACGGAGGGCCGTTACCACCGGTTGGTAGGTACGGAGGCCCGTCACCACCGGCCGGTAAGTACGGAGGCCCGTCACTACCCGCCAGGAGGTACGGAGGGCCGTTACCACTCACTGGTCGGTACAGGAGGGCCGTTACCACCGGTTGGTAGGTACGGAGGTCCGTCACCACCGGCCGGTAAGTGCGAAGGCTCGTCACTACCCGCCAGGAGGCACGGAGGGCCGTTACCACTCACTGGTCGGTACGGAGGGCCGTCACCATCCTCGTAAAAGTACAAACAGCTCCACGCTGTGCGCGCTTGGATGGATCGGGTGGTCCTGTGGAAAGTCACATCACGTGCTGAGGACACTTCACAGGTGGATCTAATCCGACCGTGCCGCCCATGCATGCCGCTAGCGGGCGTACTTTGCAGTGGGAAATACCAGGCCTGCGTGCAGTATGCAGATACCGGGTGCGATCTTTGCCTAGACCTTGGAGACATTAACGCCGTCGGGCGATTGTGTTTAGGGCAGTGACAACATTGCTATATGGTGCTGACAAGGTACACAGGCTGCCACGGTGGTCATGTCAGCTAGAAGAGATGCATTAAACGGGGAGGGAATGAGTGACAACTAATCGCAAATTTGTGGTCATGATGTTCTCCGGTAAGTGAGGGCCGCTGAATTGGGACAGCAATGGATGTGCGTACTGTGCATGCGCCAGACATTTGCGAACCAGCGATGGGTTAGTGACGAGTGCACGAGCATCGCGGAGTGGAAGCGGCTCTCGGGCTCCAGATTCGGCTCTCCTTATGCGGAACCCGAACAATCACGCACAAGTTTTATTCCGTGAGGCTTCAAGCCACAGCCGTGCCATTAAAGCCATTAATCGTCCGAATTAATTCGATGTGACGATGTGATGTCAAATGGTTCCTCCGAATGACTGGAACGGATGGATTTCGATCCCGGATGCGCGTTATGCAGAGCTAGTTACACGCACGCCGAGCCAGTGGCGAGTTCTGGACAGTTTCGCCTTAGATCTTTTAAGCGAAGCGCTGCTGCGGGACTGTCCTTTCGGTACCTTTGCGCTGTTTTTTTCGTCATCCGCATTTTTCGACGCAGCCATCCCATGATTATTTAGCCAGTCGCCAGAAGACTTTTCCACGTCATCATCGTGCTTGAAAGTTCGCGTGCTGGCTCTGAAACTCGTACCCTGGACCACAGAGACTCGTGGCCCTGGATACCAGTCCATATCTTCTGTCATCTTTCCCGAAACCGCTGGGCTTCGACGCGGATCTCTGCCGTCCAACCCCGCGCCGGAGGTGGCTTCAGGCCGAGCCACCACCGGGCAGTCTGTCCCACCAACAGCGCCCCAGGTGTCCGGACCGGCTGTCTGTCGCTGACCCCGGTCGCCCCTCCCCCCGCCCCGTCGACCCCTGAGCGAGCAGCCCGGCGGCCGGCAGCAGGCTCAAGGCCACGGAGTGCGGCTGTCCTGAGCGAAGGCTGCGCGCGCAGGCCCGGCTGGCGGTGTGGTGCTGCGGCGCCTCGCGCGTTAGTGACGCCACCGTCAGCCGGTGGGGGTGGCAGACGGAGAGGTGTGCTCACGGGGCTTGCCGGGACCTGGTGCCGTGAGCGCCGCGCTGTACCAGCGCCTGTCAGGCGGGCTGTGCGCCTGAAGCCAACAGGGACAGGCAACCACAGGTGAGAGCTGATCCTGTCCAGCTGCGGTGGGTATGGCCCGGGAAACGGGATGGAGAAACCTGTTGTGTACCATTCTCCGTGCGTTCTCAGGGATTTGTCAGGTGCAGGAAAGCCGGGCCAGGGGCCCCACTGATACTTCGCCGCCCACGCTCCGCGCTGATTCAGCGCCGGTCAAAGATTGCTGAGCAGTTATGGTACTGGCGAGGCTGTTGCTGCCGAAGCTGAAGCTGCTGTATCAAACATGGCGTGTAGCGGAAAAATGTTCGAATAAGGCCCATTCAGATGAAGTGTAGGCGTGGATGCTGTCACGCGCCTGTCGCACCGCATGCTCGTCCCATGAGGTGACCCCGGGGCCGAAGTCGACTGTTTTTTTTTTGTCCCGCTGGAACTGCCAGACGTCATCCCCAGAAAGGCTCTCCGTACAAAAGATCAGACATGTGTTTGTGTCTGCGATGCGCCATGTGCGCACTGGATCTCAGCAGGAGTTGGGCACGTGACTGTTGTTTTTGTGTCAAAGTCGAGAGACGGGACATCAGGCCGGCTGGACAATCACGCGGACTGACTAGCGCCGTCTGTCTAACCTGTGGCGTCGAACGCTCCTTTGTCTGTCACCGACGCGCCCAGCCGTCGACGTCCGTTGCGTTCGGTTCCCTGTATCGGTTGTTAGCAAGCCTGTTGGTGCACATCACCTGTTAGTGTTGGACGGCCAAATGTTTTGTTGCACTACGTTTAATGGTAGGTGGGGAAAACCTGGACGGAGTGACACGTGTGTTGGGTGTGGGTGGGCGGGGGAGTCCCTGGACGGAGTGACACGTGTCTTGGGTGTGGGTGGGCGGCGGAGTCACGTGTGAGTCACTGGGGTCATGATGCCTAAACAAGCCTTGCGAATGGCCTTCGCGTGAAAGAGCTATTATGCGACCCATTCTTGCGCCGACCGTCCATTTCTGGTCACCCTACGAAGCACAGGTGCGTTCAGAATTGGCTACTTCAAGCCGCTGGGCAGCATCAGCTGTCGAGAGTCTCTGCTTCGCTCGTCAGGCAGACCACCGAAAATGAAGATGTCTTCTTGTTAGAGCCCATATCGATGAGGTATCCCCAGTACAGATAAGTTTAATGTGTGGAGAGTTCCGGCAGTGTTCCGATTCATACAGCGCCCTTCTGTGTGCCAGGAGTTTCTCCTCGAGGTGTAATCACGCCGGGAGATTTCGCTCTCATCATTGATCCAATGTGAGGCGATAACTACCTGGCGGTAACCTCATCACGAAACATTTTGAATCATTGCACTAGGGCTGAACACAGAGCTTGAAAGCGTTGTCCTTTCAGGTTTCTGGGAGCTCCTCGCAGTGAAAATCGCGCTATGGAATCGACATATTGTACACGTTGGAGGAAGAACTTGGGAGCTTTTGGATACATGGCCTATCTCTTTAGTTTCTAACGTTTACTACCATTAACCATCGTAGTTGGTGCACCCTAAAGCAACGATGTCACGATGTTTACAAGTGGAAAGATCCGCGCGCTGAACATGTGATCGGCTGGTGGCAGGCATTTAAAGAAAATGGTTTCGACGCGTTGAAAACGAGCTGCCACAGCATAACCGAGGAGGTGCCAAACCGCCAGGTGTCGGCAACTGCGATCTTCTCAACACTTGCAAAGACTAGCAAGGTGAAATGTGAATATTGACATGTCCCATGTGCCTGTGGAAAACTGGGCCGTCGGCTTGAGCTAGCCGAGCTTCACTGCTTGTCATCTTTATGGCTTACCGTAAGTTTACAAATACGCCTTGAGGATGCAGTCTTCCCTGGCCGCAGTCATAGTTGACGGTGACGTCGGGATGACAACACAAGGGACGGAAATACAGGGGCTCGCACTCCGCCCCTTACGTTGCCTGTTCTAGGTCAAGGTCATGCAGTTTGGATTGAATGCGCTCACTGAAAGTTTGTCTTTTTAATTTTACCTGGAGTGAGCAGAAATTTCCAATGCAAAAGAGCTTTTCATCCCACTGAGTTCTCAGCGACCGATCATTGTCAATTCTGCGCGCCGTCTCCGGCGTTGTGGGATCGCTGCGGATGAAAATGACAACGACATTTTGGCTCCGCGCGCTCTTCCTGCAAAGTTCTAACGATAAACAATTCTTGGCAGTGTAGCAAAAAAGCTGTGCACTCTGGTTGTGTACGTTGTGATATATGGCCGGTGAGTAGTCATCGCGGACGGAAGCTCGCATGTGGTAGGCCTGGAAAAATCCACCCCATCTTAAAAGTCAGTGGGGAAAGTCTACACCAGCCTGTACATGCGCCTGCCATTTCCTCGTAATTATAATATTTGCAATAGTAGGGTAACGAAATAGTTTTACAACCTACAGTGCATCACATTGCAAGCAGTGTGGAGCGGATCAATGCATTGTTGGTCCCATCAGGGCTATTGCCTGCTTCTACGCAAGGCAATCAGCTTCACATAGAAATTACAGGCACCTTATGCAGCACATGTTAAACTACCAATCAAAGGATACTCTTTGAATAGAAATCTATATTTTTGGTGGACATTTGGCAGAGAATGACGTAAATAATAATTAAATAACGCATCTTGAGGTAGGTGCAAAGTTTCAATTTGTGTGTTCTCCACACTAACTTGGAGGGTCTGCTACTAACCCACACCAACTTCAAAAACGCTTCTCCACCCATGCCAGCTGTAGCGTTGAGGAAACCGACTGTGTATGATTCAAGTTGCTGATAAGTTTGCCGCCGCGTTCGCCAAGCCGTGGCCCGCCAGTGTGAGCCGTTTCCAGTTTGAAGCTAAAGCTAAAGCCGAGTAGCACGCGCCGAGCTGTTCCCTTTTGTATCGCCTGTCGTGACGCGCAACGTCGCCGTCCTTGAACGAGGCCCACCAGGGGAATCGGCCCACCCGTTAATAACCTGATAATGGTTGAGGGGTGTGATCGTTGCCCACTTTGCCAAAGCGACAAAGCTTCCTTTCCATAGTTCTGAAAAGGCGCAGCTTTACATTGGATGTCCACAGGCATAGACATTGACATGACCAGTAGCGGCTCCGCCAGATGTAGATAATAGCGCTGTTGTCTAGAATTTTACATGTCGGACTAGGCGTGCCTATCATGTTGCCTCCCCTCCACTATCACTGAGGAGCCAAATGATACGCGAAACCTTTCACGCGCCCTGTCCCGGCGCAGGGACGTTCGTTCGTTGTTCCATTCCACGCGACGAGGGTAGACGCCTCGCGTGCTGAAAAGCGGTAATGTTCGACCCCGTGACCCACTGATGCCCAGTCCCCTTATCTCCCTCTCCCCTCCCCCTCAACTCCCGTCCTGGCCATGGGTCCGGTTTGTTGTGGTGCTTGTCTCTGCGTCAGCGAGCGGCGAAGCCCGATCTCTGCCATACGTCACGTCACGTCACGTCATGTCACGTCACGTCGGTGAGCGCGTCCGGCTTATGTCGTGACAACGCTCCTCGCCCGTCATCAGCCTAGCGCGTATTCTTCACACGGCGCGCGGCGCTCAGCGCAGCCGGCGCTACTTGGCAGCGCAGCTGAAATCATTGAGCGGACGCCGCTTTCGGCCCGGGATGGCGAGACGGGACGGGACAGGACGGTCTGGCGGGCGTCCAAGACCCTGACCAGTTTACGCAGCCGGCCGCCCGGTGGGCCCGACGTGCCCCACCCGATGGGGACCGCGCCGGTCGCTGTGCGAGACTAGAACACCCGAGCCGTCCTGGGCAACAGCTTGTCCAAAACGGTGAGCAGCCGAGGTGTGCCACCTCGGCTGCTCCCTGTTTCATCTGCGGAGCCCGGCTACCGACCCGGGCTCCGTCACTAGGCGGAGCCCGGGTCGGCGCAGAGCTGTAAACTATGGCCCTTGGCGGACCACCAGAACTGAGAGCGTGGTTTCCCAGAGGCGGGGGGACCGTTTCCGCGAGCGCGGCCCACGCGTCGGGGCGGGGCACCCGGACGCGCGCCTCGAATGAATCGGCAGTGCGCGTCGGCGTCTCGCCGGCCGCCGTATCAGCGGCCAGATAGCTCGCCGATAGCGCCACTTGTGGGACGGTCGCCGGTACCTCAGCGACCGGCTGGTGGGGCCTTCCGTCCGGTGAGGGCCGCGCACACCGGCTGACCCCGGCCGCCGGAGAGCCGCGGCCGCCGCCCCGCCGTCCCCGGTAACCCCCCCCCCCCCTTTTACCCCCGACGGGCGCAGCGTCACGGGCACGTGACGCGCGGGTGGAGCGCGTGCCTGGGCTGTCGTGACGGAGAGACCCGGGGCGGGCTGCAAGCGGCGGCGGCGGCGGCGGGCCTCGCAGATCGGTCCGGTGGCTGATGAGGCCTGATCCGATTATTCGCTGGGACGGCTGCTGCGCGGCGGCGCTCGGCGTCGAAACCACAATGCTGGCGTGATCAAGGCCTCCCTCGTGCCACGGGTACTATAATTTACCACCAGAGGCGCTCCAGCAACAGATCTTGGCAGGGACTCTATGTCCTGATGGAGGGTGAGTCATAAATGTTATGAAGCTGAAACTTGTATGTGTCGAAACTCTTAAATGTTGCAAAACGGACTAACATTAAGGAGGTCCTCCGTTTTTGGAAGGGCCATAACCCCGTGGGCCCCTGGGATCCGCTCTTGCTCATCACAGCATATGAGCGCTGGCGTGCGATTACACTCCTTTGAAAGTGCTCGTCCCGGACGAGCGGGTCCAGCGGCTCTCATCTTCAAAGAGAGAGTGGTCCGGACCGTCCCCAGGCTGAGCCGAGGAGACACGCGCCAAGCGGTCCGGACCGTCTCGGGGCTGGGCCGAGGAGACACGCGCCAGGCGGTCCGGACCGTCTCTGGGCTGAGCCGAGGAGACACGCGCCAAGCGGTCCGGACCGTCTCTGGGCTGAGCCGAGGAGACACGCGCCAAGCGGTCCGGACCGTCTCTGGGCTGAGCCGAGGAGACACGCGCCAAGCGGTCCGGACCGTCTCTGGGCTGAGCCGAGGAGACACGCGCCAGGCGGTCGGGACCGTCTCTGGGCTGAGCCGAGGAGACACGCGCCAGGCGGTCCGGACCGTCTCGGGGCTGAGCCGAGGAGACACGCGCCAGGCGGTCCGGACCGTCTCGGGGCTGGGCCGAGGAGACACGCGCCAAGCGGTCCGGACCGTCTCGGGGCTGAGCCGAGGAGACACGCGCCAAGCGGCTCACAGGCCAGTGCGTGCCGCTCGCGGTCACGCGGCTATGCTTTGCGGCATCTATTGATCGGGGTCCGGCCGGGCCATCGTTTGATCTGGACGCGGGGTCCGGCCGGGCCATTGTTCGATCTGGACGCGGGGTCCGGCCGGGCCATCGTTTGATTTGGACGCGGGGTCCGGCCGGGCCATCGTTCGATCTGGACGCGGGGTCCGGCCGGGCCATCGTTTGATCTGGACGCTGGGTCCAGCCCGGTCATCGTTCGATCTGGACGCGGGGTCCGGCCGGGTCATCGTTTGATCTGGACGCGGGTCCGGCCGGGTCATCGTTTGATCTGGACGCAGGGTCCGGCCGGGTCATCGTTTGATCTGGACGCGGGGTCCGGCCGGGTCATCGTTTGATCGGGACGCGGGGTCCGGCCGGAGCATCGTTTGATGTGAATGCTGGGTCCGGCTGGCTCATTGTTTTTTTTTCTGAAGGGCATCGATCTGATAAAAAGTTGCCGTTGCTGGACCAGTGAGCAGCATCAGAGATAAACCCTGGGACTTCCTGGCCTAAATACTGGAAAACTCTGACTGCTGTAACCTTGAGAAGCCGGATGCTGGCGGCCACTGGGGCAAACGCCTGAAGGTCATTCTCTCCTTAGGGGGGGGGGGGAAGGGAGGGGGAGGGGGGCGCCGCGAACCGAGGCTTAAGCACTTTGGGAAAGTGAGGATAATGGAGACCTGAGGGAAGGAACAGCAAGCCTCTTTCAACACGCATCTAGCACGCACGTACGCCGTAATTTGCGGCTGACTGACCGACGGCTCCGGTAGCCACTTGACCGGCGTTCCGAGAGTGAAGCGAAATGATTTAGCCTCGTATTTATTGAAATTGGAGAGTCAAATCAGCTCACGCAGGTCTGACGTCAAAACTGACGGTGAGCGAACCGCGAGAATCCAACGCCTTCAGCGTGATCACCTTCGATCCATCCAATCCGGGGTTGGTGCCGCCGTATGAGCCGACCGCTACCGCGGCTGACGGCGGAAGACCCGTTAGCTATTGACGCCCGACGGACCGACGACTGACAGCGGTCACCATAGCAACACCCTAGCACGAGGCCAGCTGGCCTATATGGGTCAGGGCAGCCCTGAGACTGATTGGCTCGGCTGGTTTTTATCATGTCCGGCTGCGCCCGCCTTGCTATACGTACTATCCACGATCCATCGGCTGCACTGAGAGGGTGAGCCTAATTGGGACTAGGCCGATATTTCGGCTGACGTTTGTTGTGGGTTCCCGACATCCGCGTCGCTCTCGCACCGCCCCTTGCCCCTCCCCCTCTCCCTTTCTCAGTTCCTTGTCGATCCGCCGGGTGCGGACCGCGGGTGCGCCGCTTATGCCGAGCAGCATTGATTGGGGCAGTCGTCGGCCGGGAACGGACCAATCAAACGGCACGGCACGAGCGCGTGGCGCGGCCTGACTCGTAATGACGTCACCGCCTGATAATACGGGTCTCGGGTGGTGGTAGCGACGGTGTGAAACGGATACTTGCGCCTCATGTCACACGTGTAATGCGAAGCAGGACACCTGACGCACCTTTCTCACGTCGAAGGTGCGTCACGAGCACGTTGTGCGGTGGTGAGGAACATATGACGCAGGCACTTGGTGTGACGTGAGGAAGTCGTGACGCGTGCATTGGTTGACAGCGAGAAAGGTGGAACACTCACACGCGGTGCGGTGTGATAAAAGTGTGATGCTCACTCGATGTGGTGGTGTAATGCGTAACAATTGCAAGTTGTGTGATGGGGAGGGAGGTGCGACGACGGCGTTTTGGGCCCCGACATGTGCTGTCAGGAAGATGTGGTGCCGATATGCCAGTGCTGAGCTCATTTTTGTCCAATGCTCTTATTTGGTGTGATGGTGAGGCAGGTGTGGCGCCAAAGCAAGACAAAACACGTAATGTATTACAGGCTTGTGACTTGAGGATTGTATTATGCCGACGCTTTGTCTCTGTCCCTGTCTCTGTCTGCCTTTGTCTCTATCTTTGACCTGCCTCTGAACTCTGTCTCTGTCTGCATTTGTTTCTATCTCTGACTGCCTCTGTCTGCCTTTGTCTCTGTCTGCCTTTGTCCATCTGTCTACCTTTGCCTCTATCTGTCTCTGTCTCTTTCCCTATCTCGCTCTCTCTTATACGAGTATCACGCCGGCTAAGCCTTGCTACATAGGTTGGCCATGCCGTTGCTTTAGTGGTTAGTATGCGGGCAATGCCTCTCAGCGAGCGACACAAATTGTGCTGGTTAAAGCCTCAAAGTGGCGGCGGTTCGGTTCCCTGAAAAGGAATCGAACGAGGCATGATGTGATAATAATAATAGGTGACCGCGCATAATGCGCGGCCACCTAATACCTTTATCCTGCTACGCAATGATTGCGTAGCAGGGTAGAAACCGCGATGACGATGGGCACTGGGATCTGAAGGGCTAATAATATGGAACGGCATTATTACATGGCACGACTTCGGACCACTTCGGCGCCGGGTTTAGTATATATGCAACAAGCTGTGCTCATCGATCACTCGAATTTCCAGTGGTTCGCAAGCGAGTTAGCCATGCGACCAAATAGCCATCAGATGGAATAACAGCTTGGCCGAATGTGCCTCTGAATCGAGGCTGTTGGTTGTGCGGGGAAAGACCCCGCACCAGCCTCGATTCAGGAATAGTCAGGCGAACAGTCTCACATTCTCAGCGGGGGCGACTGGCGCCGACGCTCTGCGTGATTGCAGCTGCACCGGCGGTGTGGGGCGGCGGTGGCCCCGACACTGTGTGACTGCAGCCACGCTGGCGGTCCCGACACTCTGTGTGACTGCAACCACGCCGGCGGCCCCGACATTCTGTGTGACTGCAACCGCGCTGGCGGCCCCGACACTCTGTGTGACTGCAGCCGCGCTGGCGGCCCCGACACTCTGCGTGACTGCAGCCGCGCCGGCGGCCCCGACACTGTGTGACTGCAGCCGCGCTGGCGGCCCCGACACTCTGTGTGACTGCAGCCGCGCTGGCGGCCCCGACACTCTGTGTGACTGCAGCCGCGCTAGCGGCCCCGACACTCTATGTGACTGCAGCCGCGCTGGCGGTGTGACGGCCTCGATGACCTTCGGTTGCCAGGGCCGGAGTATCTCGCGAGTTGCGTTGGCGTCGTCGCCGTGGCACCCAGCGAGCGCCCTGGTGCGGTGGCAGGTGCCGTCGTCCCCCGGGGCGATCGACCCTCGCCCGGAGGCTAGGCCGATGAACCCGGCAGCGACGCTGGTCAAGTGGCCGCGTACCTCCGGAGTGCGGTCACTTATCGCTCCCCCGTCCGAGACATGGGCCGACCTTGAAGGGTCCCAAGTCATGGGAACGCAGCGTCCTCGAAGCTTATGAAGGATGGCAATGACATTGAAGGGCGTGTTGCTCGGAGGGCTCGGAAAGAACGGGCTTATCGCAACCGAAATACAATCGTGGTTACCGGAGAGGCAGGGCGCCGGTGCTGGGAGGATCCCATCTCGTTCGTTCGCCTCACGTTCATCTGGATTTGTTGTTCGGTTGTTTGAATGACGGTCGGCTGTGTCGAGTACAGTTCAACTGCGTGTGGCACGCTTGGCATGCTAATAATGATTCGTGGAGGCCTTGAAATATAATATTACCCACTGGCCTGCGACCCATGCAGTCGTAATGATATGAACGTTTTTGCGAGGCTTTTTTAAGGACAGTATATGCACCTGGTGCGTGTACCTTCAGGGAGGTCGTAGTCTGATGTGCATTGGTGTTTCCTAACCGGCCTTCATAATCCAAGTGCTATTTTCACGGAGAAAAATCCCCGTAGGCCGACGACTGGAATCAACAACAGGTTCACAGAATGAAACTGGATAGGTCCAGTTTGGCTTCGACAAAATAAGCTTTCATCAAACCCGTCGTATTGATTAGTATGCAGCAACAGAGCCGGCGGCTTTGAGATATTGCGCATTTGCAGCCGGACTAGGGATAACGGTCAGTGCCAGTCGTGCCGACAGTGGTTCCGTGTCCGTGGGACACACCTAGGCACACACCAGTGATTCTGTCGGTGAGACAGCATTGGCTTCATGGCCGGTGATTCACTCAGCGGGACACGCCGTGTGACCTATGGGCTCGGCCCGCCTGCGTGTCCAGACACCGTGGTCACGAGAGAAACCCCGAGCACGCGAGCTTTGCTCCCTCCGAGCGCGCCGCGTCATCCACCGTCGCGGCACGAGCGTGTCGTCGGCCGCGGCCGCCTTTTTGTGTCTTGGGGTCACCGCTGTACACCAAGCGTTGGCTCCGTCTGCCCTTGGCCGCCGGCAACGCGCCAGCCGCTGCCGCCGGAATGCGCTCGCCCTGTCACGGCCGGCGTCGCGCCCGGTCCAACGACGTGCCCTTGTTCCCAGCCATGGGTCAGCGGAGCAGCGCGCCGGCGTTCGAGCCCGTCGACGGCGGCGCCCGCTCCTCCACACTACCCAGCCACCTGCGGCGCTCACTGCGGCGCCGTCTCCGCGGCAGAGACATCAGCGCCACGTTCAACATGCTCGGCGCCGGTTTCAAGGTACGCCAGTCGGCCGCTGACGTGATGCTTGGTGACGTGACGTGACGCGTGACGCTTCGACCGCGGTCGCTCGGTCTGACCTGTTCAGTGGCTGGTGAAAGGCGACGGACATTGGCAGACCTCGAGCTAAGGACTGACGTCACCGTCTGTGTACTGGGTATGCTGTGACAGCTGAGCTTGGCGTGACCTGACCTGCCATGACCTGTATCAATGGTCCTTTTCGATGCCAGGCAGAAAGACCTTAAGCTTCTAGTTTTTGTGAAAGTTATTGCGCTGCAAACGTGCGTGAGGTGAAAACGTCTACCAGAAGCGTCGGCAATCCTCATATAATAAAATCCTCATAATATAGCCCAATGATTGCTTAATATTTGCCGTTCAACCTTCGCGCCTTGGTATGATGACGGTCCGTTATTTTCAGCCTAGGAACGCAACATCTAGTTTGTTAAGTCCACTCTGACAGTGACCCGTGGAACTTCGGCCTAATGCTGCAACTTGATGCTTCTGCTTAATACTTCAACCGAATACTTCGACTTATTACTTCAACTGAATGTTTCAACATAAAACTCCAACTTAATACGTTAACTTAATGCCTCAGCTTGATATTTCAACTTAGTACTTCAGCTGAATATTTCAACCCAATGACTTCAACTTAATACTTTAACTTAAATGCTTTAACTTAATGCTTCAACCATTCGTTCACTGCGTAACAGATGATCGTCATTACGATAGCAAGCTGTCCTTCATGCTCTTTCTTTTGCAATCCAATGCTCTTCAAACAACCTGTAATGCGCTCAAGCGGCTCTTAACAGCGACGCCAGACGTCGGCGCTCAAAGAACTTGTGACCGCAGCGGACGCTGCCGGGCGCCGTCCCTTGTCCGGACTCTGGCCGGGGGAGCGGGAGGGCGCTCCGCCAGGCTGACGTCACGTCCGCGACGCCGCTGGTGACGGCCGACGTGCACCAATCAGCCTGCCCGGAGGCCACAATCGCCCCCCCCCCCTCACCTCCGACCCCCCATCCGGTGGCTGATAACACGCCGTGTGCGCGTGCGGCGCGCGGTATCGCCGTCAGGAACAGCACACACGCGCGCGGCGCCGGGCCAGCCACCGGCTCGTGCTCGGGCAGTGTTGCCATACGCTCGCTCTCTGCGAGCGATCGGAGCTGATGCCGACCCCGCGGCGGCCGCCCCGAGCCAGGGCCACCGTCAGGGCCGGCGTGTCTCAGCCGTCCACGTGTCATATGTACCGTCTGTTGTGGAGACGAGTGTCTGCCAGACACACAGTTTGTGCCATGGCCAACGTGCTTCAGACACCCGTGTGATCGCTGCGACAGCGGTGCGGGACGGCCGGCCTGTCAGACCCCCGATTCACGATGTCCGCGTGGCGCCCCCGTCACTGCCTAGCTCCGCGCACCCATATGCGGTTCTCTCTATGTGGACTCCGCTGACAGATTTGGTGACTGTCCTCCGCTTCCTTTCCTGGGTGAAGCGCTGTGCCTTTGTGGGGTCTTGGCCCGTCCGTACGTCTGTCTCGCCCCTCTCCGCCAACCCGCCGCCACTCCCCACCGCTAACTTTTGGGCTCCGAAACCGACCCAAAGCATGGCTCAAAAAACACCGAAAACGGCCCCAAGATCTGCGCTGGTCAAAAATCCGCCCATCGTCCCAGCGGCATATGTGTAGCCCGCCCAGCAGTCGCTGGCGTATCCGCTGACGGGGGTGTGCGTCGCTGCCGGCAGTCGGCGCAGCTGGACGTGAACACGGCCACTGAGGAGCAGCTGGCGCAGCTGCCGGGCCTCTCGCCACTGCTGGCCGCCAACATCGTGGCGCACCGAAACGCGCTGGGCGGCTTCAGCCAGCCAGAGGACCTGGCTCTGGTGAACGGAGTGGGCGCCGCGCGCCTGCATCGCATCCGCGCCGGCATCTGCGTGGGACGGCCCTCCCCCAGGTCAGACCGCAGTGCCGTGACCTCCGGCCCTCCCCCAGGTCAGACTGCGGCAGTGCCGTGACCTCCGGCCCTTAGGCTGTGGTGTGGTGACCTCCGACCCTCCCCAGGTCAGACTGCAGTGCCGTGACCTCCGGCCCTCAGACTGTGGTGTGGTGACCTCCGACTCTCCCCTAGGTCAGACTGCGGTGTGGTGACCTCTGGCTCTCCCCTAGGTCAGACTGCGCTGTGGCGACCTCCGGTCCTCCCCTAGGTTAGACTGCGGTGTGGTGGCCTCCGGCTCTCCCCAGGTCAGGCTGCGGTGTGGTGACCTTCGGCTCTCCCCTAGGTCAGACTGCGGTGTGGTGACCTCTGGCTCTCCCCTAGGCCAGACTGCGCTGTGGTGACCTCTGGCCCTTCCCTCGGTCAGACTACGGTGTGGTGACTGCCGACCTTCCCTGCTGGTCAGACTACGGTGTGGCGACCTCAGGTCGACAGCGGGTCGTCTGTGGGCGGTGTCAGCAAGCCGGTGGTGTGACGCCCTGTCCCCTCCCTGTCACCGAGTCGGGGTCTGCTGTCATTTATTCCACCCGCCGCTGTGCTAGGTTTTGGCATGATCTCTTTGGCCCGCCACCTGTTGAGCTCTGTTGTGCTGTCTTTCAGGCCCACCGCCTTATTCTGGCTTATGGTGCAATCCCGTTTTGGCCCAATGCCGACTCCGGCAATCATCTGCTGTCAGCCCGCCTCACCGGGCATCAATGCTTGCGCAATACAAATCTTCCTTCGGAATGTCGTATCCGGTTGCGCGTTGTTTGCGGCGATCGTATTCCTCGGTGCGTTTGTCAATCACATAAATATCAATTTTAGTTTGAACAGGGTGAGCGCGTCAGCTCAGCCCGCATTAACACACGCTACAGTCGTGTTTGGTGAAGCCGCAGTTAAGCTTGCTCGCGCTGACATGCCGTTGGCGGCGTCGGCAGGGTGCCCTGCCTTTGTCCGGACAGCCCGGACGGCCGCTGGAGCGCCGCGTCGCCGCACAAGACCAACCTCAACACAGCCAGCATGTTCGACCTGATGCAGGTCAAGTTCATCAACCAGGAGACGGCCGACCGCATCCTGCACTACCGCGACAAGAAGGGCGGCTTCCGCACGCTGCGGCAGCTGGCCAAGGTGCGCGGCGTGTCGCGGCGCAGCGTGGACGTGCTGCGCCACTACTTCACGCTCGACGACGCCAGCGAGCATGAGAGCAGCAGCAGCGAGAAGACGTCTGTGACGGCGCCGCCAGAGGTGGGCGCGGCGGCGACGGCGGCGGCGGCGGCGCCGGCGCCGGCGCCGGCGCGGCTCGGCCAGCACCGGCGCACGCACTCGGTGCCGCTGGGGCTGGGCGTCGTGCCGTGCCTGCAACCATCGGGTGACATGTGCGAGCTGCTCGCGCTCCACTCGCCGCGGCCCGTGCTCGAGGAGGTGCGTGGAGGGGGACGGGACGGGACGGGACGGGACGGGACGGGACGGGACGGGACGGGACGGGACGGGACGGGACGGGACGGGACGGGACGGGACGGGACGGGACGGGACGGGAGAGTTACAAGGGAAAGGGGAGGGCCGACAGGGATGTCATTTCAAGAGTGATATTGCTCCTAAATCAGGAATGTCGCTGGCAGACTTGTAGCTGCCTGTACCGTGACGAGTTGCGGCGGAGGTGACAGCGGCCACGAGCCCTGGCCGGCCGAAGGAGGGCTCAGCTGCCTACGCTGAGTTGCAGCGGTACTTGCGGCTGGGTCGGATGGGCTGTGGACCGAATGTGGCTGGCGCGGCGATGACATGTCTGTTTAGCTTATATGCTGGGTTCGGGCGCCCTCGCGAATACCTCCGCTTACTGATGGGAACTGGCTGGAATACTTATGCATGGGGCTCATGTAAGCAAGGAGGACTGTTTCCTCTCAGCTTCGTACCCATGCGCGGCCATGCGAGAAGTCGTTAACCAGGGTCTTGCAGGACATGAGCTGCATTTGGCACGTTCTTGGTGATCTGTTGAATAGCTGTTAGCGGTTCAGATAATGTGGGGCATGCTTAACAGTTCGCAGCTAATTCACAGTGACCGGACACTGGTATCTGGCATTGCGCTCAGCAAAACATAAGATGCCTAATGCTTGTCTGCTCCCCAAGCCCCTCTATTCAGAACGCCGCTTCCGAGCTACAGAACGCACGTCTCGAACGCCTTGCGCACCAGATATGGAATACTAGCATGCATAAAACCGGTTCAAATCCTCACGCGTTGGGATCCCCAAGAATTAACGCGCGTACCAAGGCAAGCGTAAGCCCATATCCGGCCCTACGGATTCTTCTATGGAGCGGCCCGTAGATCGGGCCGGATCGGACCTACATGCCCTGCGAAGGCCAGCGTAGTGTCCATGAGTCAGCGTTGGGAGTTGGGAGATGCGGTGCGGTAGTCGTGCTCTCCTAACACACACACACACACAACTGTGGACCAGCGTGAGGAGGTTGTGCTGACAGGTCCCGCGTTCCCAACGCATACGCGTCGATCGCAGCAGGGGCCCGACCAAGAGGTGCCGTACTCACACCCCATGCAGCGCACCAGCGCGGGGTCCGCTGCACTCACGGCACGTGCCGCCGCCAGGTGTTCATGGGCCAGCGGGGCGGCCGTCCGGTGTTCCGCCTGGCCACCTGGAACCTGGAGCGCCTGTGCGCGGACAAGTCGGCGAACCCGGGCGTACTGGAGGTCATCTGCCGCACCGTGCTGGAGGCCGGGCTCGGTCTGGTCGCCGTCCAGGAGATCCTCGACCCGGATGCCCTCGGCAAGGTCAGTGGCTTCGGCTGCGCCTACTGCCCCGGCGCTCTTCACAGCCAGAGGCGGCCCCCGCTGCGGAGCGACGTCCGCGGCTGGGCGCGGACGAACGCTCCGTCCCGCCGCCGTGTGCTCGGTCTCGCAGTGTCCTGCGGTGCCATGGGCGGGCTGCGCTGCGTGCGGTTTGTGCTGTGATGTCTCGGACGAGCCGCCTTTGGTGCTGTCGCGGCCCGCGGCCCGGGCGGCCGGCTAACGTAAACACGCGGCCATGTGACCGCTCAGCCAGGAACTGGAACGCTCGGCGCTGCTGCTCGGGTGACGTCAGCGGGTGTCGCCCGTGGGTGTCCGGTGCCGGCCGCAGCATCGACCCTCCAGTCGGCCTGATCATACCACCTGGACTAGTTGGGCTGGGTGGCTGCGTCAGGGTGTCCGTCCAGTCCAGGGTGATGTTCTGTTTTGCTGAAGGTCTCCGTAGTGGTCCGCCTGAGTCGCCTGCCCTGGCCATTTGGTCTGTGTTGACCGCCGTATTCGTTAAGTCTGACCCTTCGCCCTGTTTATTTTAGCTGTCTTCTTTGTCCAGTCTGACTATTTTGTTTGTCAAGTCTGACCACCCAGTCCAGTATCGCACTCCAGTTTCACCGTTTTGTCCAGTCTGGCCGTTCAGTTCAGTCAAAGTTGTGAAGTCCAACTCAACTCCGGCCCAGCCTGGCTCAACCGTGGCTCACCCTGGCCGACTCCCCTGCGGTCAGATCTGACTCGCGGCCAGTCTCACTCCACCGTGTCAATCGAACTGAACTCTCCTTTTCTCAAGCTGTCAGCCTCTTCTCAATCTCTCAGTGTTTTGTTAGGTTTGACCCGACTTCCTCCCAGTCCTGGCCGACTCCCGTACAGGCTGAAGGACCACTGTCCTACTCCCCAACAGTCTGAACGGACTACTGTTAAACTATTATACGGTCTGAACGGACCACTGCCGGACTCTCATACAGTCTGAACGGACTACTGTTAAACTATTATACGGTCTGAATGGACTTCTGTCGGACTCCCATACAGTCTGAACAAACGTCTGTCAGACTCCCATACAGTGAACGGAATTCTGTCGGACCCCCATACAGTCTGAACAGACTTCTGTCAGATTCCCGTACGGCCTGAATGGACTTCTGTCAGACTCTCATACAGTCTGAACGGACTTCTGTCAGACTCCCATACAGTCTGAAAGGACTTCTGTCAGGCTCCCGTACAGCCTGGACAGACAAATGCCGTGCAGCGCCGTCGTGCTCGATTGCCGCCCAGTTTGACCCGATTACGGCGCCATCTCGCGTATCTGCCGCTTCAGTCTGACCAGAGTGCATCCCACCCTGACCCGATTGTCGCCTCACCTGACCTGGCCCCGATCCAGTCTGACCCAACCACGGCACCGCCTCTCCTACGCGCCGCCCCTGACCCGCGTGTAGCCCATTCTGACCCGATTGTCGCCCCGCCTGACCTGACCCCAGCCCAGTGTGACCCGACCGGCGCCCGCAGATCTGCTCCGAGCTGAACACGCCCACCCTGCACAAGGTGAAGAACTGGCAGGGCTGGCGCGGCGCCTGGCGCTCGGTGCTCTCCGAGCCCGGACCGGCCGGCCACCGCTGCGGCTTCCTCTACGACGTCAGCAAGGGCGTCGAGCTGCGCGACCAGCCGCTGGTGGCCGGCGACGGCGAGCGGAGTGACGTCACAGCGCCGTTCGTCGGCAAATTCAGGGTGAGTGGTCTGCGGAGGTGCGGCCGAGCTGGCGCACTGCCAGAGGAGGTCATGACCTTCATGTTGTCGGCTTGTCGGAGAGCCATGTGACGAAACGCTTATGAAGCTGATTAAACCATCTGCTTATGAAGCTGATTATCTTAAACGATTATTTGCGGTGATTATGTAATACGCCGATTATTTAAGTTACGGTGTTGAGTGGATTGAATGATAAGAAAATTGATTTGATAATATCCTCGATTACGCGCATGGATTGAAGAAGTAGACCTGGAGTCATTGCAACTGCGTAAGTCGAAGAGGGACTTCGGTGAAAGTCATGCGCCCAGCCAGCCGTAGGTTGCCAGGCGTTCGGCAAACGTTCGTCTCGTCTCACCCCTGTGTAACCGCGCTGATTCACTCGCATTTGGCACACTTGTCACTTTTTTCTTGGCCTCCGCCCACAGGTGGACAAGTTCCACTTCTCTGTGATCGCCGTGCGGCTCCGCTGGCCGACCGCCCCTCCATCTGCCGGCGGAGAGGCGCACTCCGAGTCTACGCCAGCACCACTGGAGGCCGTGGAGGAAGCTTTGGAGCGCATGCTGCACAACGAGGAAGATGTGCTGGTTGTGGGGGACTTCAGCCGTCCCGCCGACGACCCAGGTGCAAACTGAGGCCGCCTGGGGAGGGGGGGGGGGGGGGCGCGGAGTCGGGACACGTTGACGTCCGTCGGAACACGGCACACCACGGGGCGCCAATCGCCGACGTGGCTTTGTTTTTGTGCTTCGCCTGACCTGCATTTATCTTGTAACGCCAAATTGTTTGGATCGTCGCGAGTAGTTTTTATGGGATTTTTTCCCCTCCGGATCGGCAAAAGCATGGCAACTGAACGGCGCATGCCCTTAAAACATCAGTGGGTTTTTGCGTCAGCTCTCACAGTCCAGCTGTGCCTTGTCGTGAATGGCTGTGCCCGGCGCCACAACTGGCGGCTGACGGTGTGTGCCGATGTGTGCCTCCGACATCGCGTGCTACGCTGCTGTGCACCAGCGGGAGCTGCACAGCGGGTGCCGCGCCGCAGCAGGATAACCAGGCCATGAACAGCTGAGTGACTACCTCGCGGCTAAACGGCTGAATCGCAGTGTTTAAACAAATCTGAACCCACGCACGCCTGATCGCAGCATGCAGCGTCGGCCGCGTCAGTGCTTTGCACCGGCCTCACATACTCTGGGAGTGGACGCGCCACGTCCGTCGGCACCCCGTAGCATTGGGATCGCTCGACAGATCATCGCTGGTCCCGAGAGTGGACGCACCTTCGCGCATAACCACGTGATGTGGCTGAGCCGGGCGCGTCTGAGAGACCGCTCGGCCCGGCCCGTCAGCACGGCCCGGCCGCGCTGACGTTCCCAAACCGGCGGCGGCGCCCCGCTGGCCCCGCTTACGACCCCGCTGATGGCCCCGCTGACGGCCCCGCTGTCGGGCCGCTGACGGCCCCCGCTGACGGGCCGCTTACGACCCCGCTGTCGGGCCGCTGACGGCCCCGCTGACTGCCCCGCTGTCGGCAGCGTTCGAGGTGCTGCGGCGACACCGGTTCCACCCGGTGGTGCCAGAGGGCGTCAGCACCAACGTCGCCGGCAGCCCGGGCGACGGCGCCGCTAGCCGCTTCTCCAACATCTGGATGACTGAGCACACCGAGGCGTCGTTTACCGGTGAGGAGGCGGCTCAGCAGGCGGGGGCTGCTGGTGTCTTGAGTTTTTGTACTCGACGGTCCGGTACGGTGCGGTACTCAGTTGCTTGAGACACGTGGTACTTATATTTGTATGCCGTAGTGTCTAGGATGTATGGTAAATATGTAGTCAGCTGATGTGCTCCGCGAGAGCGGCGCACGTGCAGCCTTCATGAAATTCGACTCCGAGTACATTTTGTGAACCCAATTCAAACCGCGTTGTCGACGACTGATCAACGTTTGGAACAGGGGGCCGTCTGTTGGTGTACACCAAGTGAATATTTAGAATTGCTACCCATCTCGAGCCATTCCTTCTAGTGGCCTGGTGCGCGATGCTGTCGCGAGACAGCTGCCGGGGCCGTGCCTGGCTAAGGCAGCCGTCAGAGCTGTGTCTGGCCGAGGCAGCTGTGGGGCCTGTGCCTGACCGAGGCAGCTGCTGGGGCCATGCCTGGCCGGGGCCAGCTGTCGGAGCCGTGTCTGACCCAGGCAGCCTGTCGGAGCCGTGCCCGGCCTACGCCGCTGTAGTCCTGCCAGGGAGCCGCTGCCTCCCGCCGCGTGCCCGCCTCAGCTCGCGCCTCCCCTGCGGCAGGTCACTTCTCGGTGGTGCGTCTGGGCCTCTGGCACCTGGCCATCCCGAACGGCTGGCACTGGGGCGGCGCGGTGAGCGCCCACTGTCCCGTCTGGTGCGAGATGTACACGGCGGCGGCGGCCGGCGCCGGCCCGACCGCCGTCGGCCGCGGCCTGGCCGCCCTCCAGCTGGAGTACCGGCAACACGAGCAGCTGCACCGCCGCGAGATGGCGGCGCTCACCCAGCTGCCGGTGAGCTGAAGCTCGCCGGACGGCGCCGCCGGACGGTCGCGGCTGAACGGCTGAATGGTCGGGCGCGGCCATAGGCCCGTTTGTCCGGCCGCTCAGTGCCGAGTGGTGGCGGTCAGGGTTGTGCTGCTGATGGAGACGGAGGTGCGCGCCGTTCGATGTAGGCGTGGAGGTGTGGGCTGCAGGTGCTAGACTTCAGCAGCTCGGTAGGCTTTCGCAGGAGGTTTTGTGCCATGTGGAACCACTCCTTTGTTAAGCCAGTGCTTCTGTTGGAAGATACTTGCGCATATGTATGAAGTTCTGTAATGATAGTCGCCTGTGTTATGCGACATGTGACTGCAGTTCAGTTATCTAAATGGATGCTTGTGTTACGTTCTCGTTAGCCGATGCTAGGAAGCTGACAGATGCTGGTATTTTGCCTGTTACCGTCACCAATGGCTGGTCTGGTCCGCTGAATCGACGAACTCCGCCCTGTCACACACAATGTGACGTCACCGGAGGTGGCAGGACTGCCACAGCTCAACGTAGTGTCCCGGCTGCGACCGCGCGCTGCATCGACAGTCGCCCCCCCCCCCCCTGTGATTCCCCGCGCCGGAGCCGCCGGATCCGCCACTGGACGCCGGGCCGACCGCCCGCCTGCCCGGCCGGCCTCCCAGTCGCCCCACCTGTGATCCCCGCGCCGGAGCCGCCACTGGACGTCGGGCCGACCGCTCGCCCGGCCGGCCTCCCAGTCGCCCCACCTGTGATCCTTGTGCCGGAGTCGCCGGATCCGCCACTGGACGTCGGGCCGACCGCCCGCCTGCCCGGCCGGCCTCCCAGTCGCCCCACCTGTGATCCCCGCGCCGGAGCCGCCACTGGACGTCGGGCCGACCTCTCGCCCGGCCGGCCCCCCAGTCGCCCCACCTGTGATCCTTGTGCCGGAGTCGCCGGATCCGCCACTGGACGTCGGGCCGACCGCTCGCCCGGCCGGCCTCATGTGATAGCCACACGATTGCAGAGCCATGCCCTTATCTTGAAATAAACTAGATAACCGTGGTGCCGGTGTGTGTGTGTGTGTGTGTGTGTTTAGTGTGGTTTATGGTGGGCAGACCACCAGGGCGTGGCCGCGACCAGGGAAGCCTGCCGACCGGCCAGCCCCGACGATATCTATGTGTTTCATGCGTACTGCCCCATAGCGGCCACTGGCTGCTCTGGAACTGCCTATGAGACGCCTGCGGGGCTGCGTTGGCTGCCCCCTGAGTCACCGGACGAACATCATCTCTGCGGCGTTGTATGGCGCAGTGCCGAGCTCTGAGTCACCGGACGAACATCATCTCTGCGGCGTTGTATGGCGCAGTGCCGAGCTCTGAGTCACCGGACGAACATCATCTCTGCGGCGTTGTATGGCGCAGTGCCGAGCTCTGAGTCACCGGACGAACATCATCTCTGCGGCGTTGTATGGCGCAGTGCCGAGCTCTGAGTCACCGGACGAACATCATCTCTGCGGCGTTGTATGGCGCAGTGCCGAGCTCTGAGTCACCGGACGAACATCATCTCTGCGGCGTTGTATGGGGCAGTGCCGAGCTCTGAGTCACCGGACGAACATCATCTGCGGCGTTGTATGGCGCAGTGCTGCGTTTGCTCGGTGCTGGCTTTTCGAACGCCTCGGCTTTTCAGTCGTGTGTATCCTTGCGCGGAACATTCCAAGACTTAGCAGGAGTGGAAAGGCGGGCCGCTTGCGGTGTAGATCGTGAGGTTGACATATCTTCGAAACTTAGACATCAAGGTATTTTTGTGGAGACGTATTAGAGTGCATCGTTTTCGGGAACAAACAAGTGGAGACTGAATGCGATGGGAAATTTCGTCATTTATCTTAAGCCGCCAGGTGCTGGTGGCGAATGGCTGACTGCCTGGTACACGGGCCTTGTCGCGCCCGGCCCCCGACGGCGGCGGCGACTGGAGCGCCCCTGTGCCTCCCATTCCGACCCCGCCTAAGCCCTCCCCTTCCTTTCCCCCTATGGTAAGCCATCCCGGTGGTTCGAACTAAGCACTTACGCACTTAGCCACCCGAAGTCATTTGCGGCCTTTGTTGTTGCGCCAACGCGTCACGCGGTTTAGCTGTATCCCCTTGCATTTGCCGGTGGTAAAAAATTGTACAGCACACACTGTGTGGCGAAAAATGTACCGGTGATTGTCAGCACGCTCCGATCTGCCCCCATACCGGTGGCGGGGGGGGGGGGGGGGCGGAGGGCGGCTGTTTCTCAGTATGTCCTCACATCGGTCGCTCCCGGCCGGCTCCGGCCTGTCGCTATCTCCGAACCATAGGCTCAGAGAAGACGCTCGTAGACGGCCCTAAGGGGTGTTTGCGACGCGCCTGGCCAGCGCGCTGGATGGTTACAATGCCCTTCGGCCGAGCTCTGCGGCTGCGCTCTGCCACGGCGGCTGCCACCTCCGCTGGACCAACCGGCAGCGGCACCAGCCAGAGCATCTGGCTGCCAGCCCCGCTGCAGCCGCCGGCAGCTGGGCCGACCACAGCAGCTGGACCGACCGGCGGTCACAGTGCGAACACAGAGAGGACGGCTGTCCCGACCGGCCGTGCGTCCGCCGCCGCTTCCGCTCCGCCGCAGGAAGCCGAGCTGGAGCTGCGCGATAGGGCGGCGGCCTATCTGCAGGCTGAGCGCGGTCCGAGCGGCGGCTCGTCACAACGGCGCGGTGGGCCGGTCGAGGGTGCCGGCCGCGGGAGGGGTGTCCCGGTCCAGACGCCCTGAGGCAGCAGATGTCCGTCGCACAGCCGGCTGGGGCAGGAGCGCTGTGAATTGGGCGTGGCTGTGTGAAGCGCCCGCTTCCAGTGTCAACTATTCCACAGCCTCACTCCACTGGTAAAAGAGGTGAGGATGTCGTGCTGTACGAGTCCCGTTGGATAGATATGTACGTGGTACGTGTGAATTATATATCGAACGGTAAAAACTGATGGTCTGTTTTCAGATCCGCACATTCGGAATGTATCGGGTCATCTATTTCGTGTGTTGAGTCCATCCAAGATTCTGTTAATGGGTCTTTACGACGCACGCAGCTACTGAGACCATGTTGCACGGCCTGACTCTCGCCCTGGCAGGAAGGACGGGCACCGCGGGTATCGAACCACTGTGATTCCCCAGACGCGCAGCTTTACCACTACACTATCGGTATCCTCCCCTCCCCCCTTCCCGAGAGATAGGGAAGGTGCAGCGATGAGCCTCAGCTTAGATGCGCCATTCATGATTCAGCGGAGTGGCTTGTCCCTGTGGTGGCTCGAGCAGCTGGTGCAATATCAGCTGCAATCTTCCAGCGTTCTCTGAAGTCGGACTCTCGCTTCTGACAGGTGGCTTGGGTCCGGCTGGAGGTCACAAACTTCACCATGAGCGACGAAGATGGCGCACCACCAACCAGACACTTCCAGTGGAGTTTCCTGTACACATGGCCCGCCCTCTTCAAGGGGACAGAAACGGTAACCATCTCGTCAGTCCCTGCGCGGGAATGAGTCGCACTCGACTCGTTCGCGTTTTCGTGAGGGAGAACGGTCAGGAGCCCGGGTGATTCAGGAACAAACGGAGGGTCTGAGCACGAGTTCGTCGTCACTTTCACGAAATAACTTTATCGCAGCTCTCAGTCATCCCGCTGCCATTTAATCGTCTACTGAGCCGTCTGGTACCATAGGTGACCGTGACCAATGACTTCTGGTCATTTTGGATGCACCAACTGCCTTCGCGCTGCTTCCTTGGCCTCTTCAGCAGGCCGTTAGGCTGCGTCGTACCCGTAACCCAACCGAGATCATCTGCAGAACGTTTGACCCTCTTTTCCCTTGACCAAATAAGAGGTTGCTTCAGCCATCTGAGAGGCCACTAAGAATATTTAGGGGTATCACTGGTAACAGTTTCAGGAGTACTACAGGCTCCTTCTCCCAGACGACCGGTTTCGCCAAAACTAGTAACGTGCTCTGAATAGTATAAGCAGGAAGGGTCTCAAGCTCCTGGTTTTTCAGCGTGTGTTCAGAGTTCTTATGCTACAGTTAGCAGCCTTTATTATATCGGTACGCACTGGTCAAATGCCGTTATCAAGCAAACGCTGGTTATACTGTCAATATTCAAGTATACTGAAGGTCTATAGCTGTCAGCACAAAAGCTCCGAGGCCTTGAGGCGTTCTCAATGGCTAAACAAAGTAGAAGGTTCTGACGAAACTTTTGAGAACTCGCAACAGCCCATGACCTGAATATGGTGGAAGGTTTTCTAGGGCGGTCAGTATGCACCGCCGGGGACACGAGACCGAGAGACACTCGAGGAGATAGACAATACGAACCCTGTATCTACAACTCTATGGACGAACGATTGTAGTCGTAATGAAAAATGGTCACTTTAACAAGCCCTCGTCTCCAAAGAAACGACCAGTTAGCTGCTTTTCTACCTTGCTGCTCCAAAAGCGGCGCTCCGAGGTGCCACGTCCCAGCCCTGTGGTCGTCCCTATATGTCACAACACCTGGCTGTGCTTCTCCCTTCCGCAGGTGTTGTGCGCCCTCTGCTTTCTCTGCAACGAGCTGTTATGGTATCCCCTGACACCGTACCCGGCGCGGACGTTCCTCTCGGTGTGCTCCTGCCTCGCCCTCATCTCCTCCATTCTGCTGTTCCTGGTGCTGGGCTGCGGCGTGGATCGGTACTTCACTAACACCACCTGGTGGCGAATTGTTGTAAGTATCCGTGGCTTTAACCACCGCGCGCCGGCCAGTTCCCAGGAGCGCGTGGCGGAAACAGGTCAACCATACGCTGAACGACAACCGCTTCGTACAATACTTTTTGACAAACAGAGCGCAGTCACTCGGTCATGTTAGATCATCTGACTGGCTAATGCTACCGGCCGACCAGAGTACAGTCGTAATGGGCGACAGGTGGTACACCAAGGTATTTTCGCGATTTCGTGTTTCACCCAACCACGATCCAGGTGGCAAATAAGTGTGTCTATAACCCTATCTCTTATGGCCGATTTAAAATATCCTTCTTCTGGCCGGGGCCGGAAAGTGAAACGGAGCTGTGTCAACCCGCACGTGACGCTGACACTGACTAATGTTCGGGGCCGACGTCACCACCCGCTGGTGACTCCCCCCCCCCCGTGCTACTGACCGTGCCGCCGCGGCAGGTGGTGGCGCTGCCGGCCATCTGCGCGCTATTCCTGATGATGTCGTCGGCAGCACAGACGAACATCGGCGGCTTCGTCAGCGCCGGCTTCCAGGCGGCAGCGGTAAGGGAAGACACGGGGCATGGCTGTTAGCAACCGCTGGGCTTCCCAGACGTCGGGCTGGATGGAAAACGATAACTGTAGCGTCACGCTGAGGCACTCAGGCCATCGCCGTTACCAGGTACTCCCAGATCCCGCGCGCATTGTCTAACTGGTTCGGCACGCGACGCTGCTCAAAGCGAGGATCGTGCCTCGCATCGGAGACAAGCTGTTCGTATCAAAGCACAGGTCGCAGTAATCGCCTGAGCCCGCATGCTCCCTCTTAGCCCAGATCGCTCTAGTTCTGATACTGCCAGCAAGGCCGCACCAATTCCATCTTGCCAATGTCAGCTTAAATGAATGCCTTAATGAATGACTCAACCACGATATAACTGACAATAACTTATTGAACTTAGGCATAACGGCACAGGCAAACGTACCGTGGAGATGTCCTAACCTGCGTTCAGTCGCCGAACAGTCTGTTCAACACGACTTCGAGCTCGTCCCTCTGTCCCTCACGGTCAACGCCATCCGACCACCGGCCTAGCAGGGCACGTGCCAGGCCGGCTCTGACGTCACAACCCGCTCTCACCGTCGCACCGCCCGCCTGCCCAGGTGTTCGGATTCCTCGCCTTCAGCACGTACCTGGCGGACGCCATGTACCACTTCACGCGGCTGCGCCAGGCCGGCGAGCTGCCCAGCCTGGGTGGGCTCGCCGGCAAAGGTGAGCGGGGGCAGGGTGCCGCCAGAATGGACTGGGGTCAGAGGAATGAACCGGGGTCAGAGGACTGAGTCGGGCCCAGAGGGGTCAGAGGAATTAACCGGGTTCAGAGGGGCCAGAGGGATGAACCGGGATCACAGGGGTCAGAGAAAAGAGCCAGGGTCAGATGAGTCAGAGGAATGAGCCTGGCGGGTCGTGCTCACGAAGGCGGGTGCCAGCGTCCTGGGTCGAAGTCGACCCATGCACGGGCACTGGTTACCTGACTCTGACTTGAGCGATCAACCCGAAGCTCAGCTCTCCCTACGCACGAGCTGAGGCGGGACCAGTCCGACGCCGACCTCACCATGTCATCGCGGCACTCGTCACAAGATGAGCCTGAACTCACCTGTGTCTGTTTGCCAGGCCCACAGTTTCGGTCGGCGCGAGGTGACGGCCCGGCGCCGACTGACGGCAGCGACAAGAACCTGCGCGCGCCCGGCTCGTGGAACGTGCCACTCGACTCCGCCAACAGACAAAGCCCCGACAGTGACGAGGGCACCAGCGGAAAGTACTCCCTGCAGTAGAGTGAACGAGGGAACAAACGAGCCGGGGCAGTGACGAGAGCCCCGACGTCTAAAGTGGCGCACGTTACGTACGCCTTTTAGAGCAGGCACCTGCGGCCAGTCCGAGCCCAAGCACCAGCAGGCGGACAGTGATGAGAAGACGCGTGAAACGCCCGACATGCAACAAACGCTGGCATAGAAAGCACCGATGATGGCTTGAAGTTCTCAAATCTGAGCAAGTTCGTCCACCGCAGTGCAGTGACGAGTGACCAATTTTGCCTGATGGCATGGCGGTAGGGGTAGACGATCGAACCCGTGCTGCTGCTGGGAAACCGGGACTGGTTGCGTGCCATCAAGCCGTCGCACCTTACTCGTCAATGCGCTGCTTGATACCACCTGCTCAAACGCAACATACGGGGTGACTCTTGCTCACATCCTGTCTATAAGCAGTTAACTGCAGACATCACACCATCAACGGCCAGAGACGCCGCGTCATGCGCTGCTGTCCCCAGCGGAGGCCGAATCCAGCTCGGTGTTACGAGCGTCTGGTGGGTGACGAGTGCCGGCGAACGCCTTCCGCTTGGATCGACGTCCTGAGATGGTCGCTCTCATTGCGTTATCACTGGGCAGTGCGCCGTCAGTCGCGAGAGTGCCCCGCGCGTCTTGTCCTGCCTGTTTGCAGGCGTTGGGTACGCCTTGTATAAAGTGTTGCATCGGCCGCTGTTTTTTTGGGGGGGGTGGGGTGGGGTGGGGAGGGGATTCTGGCGCGCCGCGCTGAGAGTACCTTCACCGTGAAAAATACGCTACCACCGAGGCACCAGGACATTTGCGGCGGCGTCAGGTGCAATCCTGGAGAACTCGGAGCCCGCAGAAGCCGGCTCTGATTGTGGACGGGGAGGAAAGGGTGGGGAAGCAAGAAGACCGGAAGGCCATTCTTGAATCGCGTCACATGGACCAAAGCGTTCAGCTGGTGCAGTCGCATTTCAGACAGGTACAGCTTTCAACGAAGCGACTAAATTTTCGTGTTTGAAACGGGATACTCACGGCGAAGTACTTCGTTCAAGTAATGCAGTTGACTTTGATGTGTTTTAAGCATGACAAAATGGAAAATCCGTAAAGACCGTTGGCTTTTGATACAACGCCAGGCCAAATTCTTACCATAACGTAATTCCACCACGAAGGTGATCGATGGCTCAACGGAAACTGATAAATCTTTATCACTCGAAAAAAACTGTTGTTTCGAAAATGATTAATGCTCTAGGCGTAGCCCGATACATCGATGGATTACATGTGGCTGATAACGCACGGTATCAGATAGCCGGATCATCGCCGACGTCAAACCTCCAACGTTGCTACAGGCCCTTACCCAAGGGTATGTTATCAATGAGCTCTTCACACACTTTTTCTTCAGCTCCTAGTCCTGCTGCGTGCGAAGATGCCAGCAGCAAAGTGGCGGGTCGTTTCTGAATGTCTTCGAACAAAATCCCCCTACGCGCCCCCGTACCTTAATCGGTACAGCATCTGCCATTAACCACTGTGTGGCGGACACATGGATTCAGGGCTCGCGTCCCATAAGCCGCACCTGTGTATGGCCAGAGCTCTGACGGTCCGCTGGCAACTGACTCAGACAGCAACAGGGCCGGCGGTGTAACGGCACGGCGCCTTTCGGAAATAATTGCATGCTTGAGGGAACGCGTCTACTAACGTCGCTGTGTCAGAATCTCTGCCTTATGATACGCTAAGAGGTTGATCCCAAGGCTTTGCAGAACAGGCAGTCAGGTTTCTTGAAAAAACGGACGTCATATGAGACGCACAGACATTTTGACATCCTTCCACATCCCAGCGTAATATTACAGAACCAAAATAGCATACTGATGTGGACCCTACGTAATATTTCTACGCCGTAATGTGCTGCCATGCCCATATCCAGGCATCTCATACTTCTGCCACATTAGTAAATTTCTAACCTTTGCCAATTGAAAACGAAACATCAAACCGTTAATAAAAGCCACGTGGCATTCACAAGTGAGCACTTCCTTGCACATGCCGTCTGAAGCGAGAGCGTTCAGCCACATAAGCGGCTTTCTAAGACGAGCCCCTCCGGCTGCCGGACATGGTCTAACCCCGGCGTGACTACGACATTCGTCCGCGATGACGCCTGCCGGACGTGGTCTAACCCCGGTGTGACTGGGACATCCGTCAGCGACGACGCCTGCCGGACATGGCCTAACCCCGGTGTGATTGGGACATCCGTCCGCGACGACGCCTGCCGGACATGGTCTAACCCCGGCGTGACTGGGACATCCGTCCGCGACGACGCCTGCCGGACATGGTCTAACCCCGGTGTGACCGGGACATTCGTCCGCGACGACGCCTGCCGGACATGGTCCAACCCCGGTGACTGGGACACCGTCCGCGACGACGCCTGCCGGACATGGTCTAACCCCGGCGTGAGTGGGACATCCGTCCGCGACGACGCCTGCCGGACATGGTCTAACCCCGGTGTGACCGGGACATTCGTCCGCGACGACGCCTGCCGGACATGGTCTAACCCCGGTGTGACTGGGACATCCGTCAGCGACGACGCCTGCCGGACATCGTCTAACCCCGGCGTGACTGGGACATCCGTCCGCGACGACGCCTGCCGGACATGGTCTAACCCCGGTGTGACCGGAACAATCGTCCGCGACGACGCCTGCCGGACATGGTCTAACCCCGGTGTGACCGGAACAATCGTCCGCGACGACGCCTGCCGGACATGGTCTAACCCCGGTGTGACTGGGACATTCGTCCGCGACGACGCCTGCCGGACATGCGCTGTCCAGTCATGTGCTGCTTCGACTCAAGTCAAACGGCGGTCGGTACAGTGCTTTATTCGTGTGGAAAGCGCTGACGTCTTCTAGTCCAGTCATTGCCACAGTTATTCACCGCATTCTCGCCAGCACAATGGATATAGGGATCTGAAACGGAAAAGGCTGGTTCAGCACTTAAAACACCTTTTTGCAGCTCAGCGTTCCAAAAATCAGTCCAAAAACGCCGCCAGTCGACCCATACAGCAGCAAACGCAATAGTTCAAGTCTGGACGTAGAGTCATCAAGCCATCTCGGCGTGAATCGTCCACATCGTGCGACGTTATCGTCCAAATCGTGTCAATATCAATCGACTGAACGCACGAGCTACCTGTGATCAATCCGGCGTCAATCGACAACATCACGCGACTGTACGCACAAGCAATTTGTGATCCATAGGCAGCAATCGTCAAAATCGTGTGACTGAACGCACGAACAATCTGTGATAGATCCGGAGTCAATCGTCAATATCATGTGCCTGTACGTACAAACAATCTGTGATCAATCATCCTTGGAGCAAGACTGGAACAAGCCCAGCTTCCTCATCCGCTCGAACTCCGCCTCCGCATCGTAGTTCCTGCAGACAAAACAAAACCACGTCGGTATATCGCCATCGTGTACACCACAGGACGATACCAGGGTCAGTTCTTGGCATTGACAGTTTTCCCTCATTGTTACCTCCTGGACGTCAATGTTCACCTCCTGTCTCAATTCTCACACATTATAATCATCACATCACGTAATCACATAACGATCACATCACACACTAATCTTAATATTTCGCAGGGCCGTTTTGAACACAGTTCAGCATCACTCCTTTGGTAAAGCGCCACACAGAACATGAGTAGCTTAACTGATGCCTAAACGATACGCAGCCATCTGAAGAAGGAGGCCGTAATGCGACAGTTCTGGAAACGACGAAATTTATCAAAAATTCGTCAAGAAACCAACAACTACATCAATGTCAAGCCAAAATAACATCAAATATCGTCAGCAACAGCACACAACTTCCTTTTCTGTACCCACACATTGTAACAGAGTGCAGGGACCACTCACTTGTAGAATTCGGCGTACTTCTGCTGCCTGGGCTGCTTCACCAGGAAATAGTAGGAGGAGACGGCGACAGTGCAGACGCCGGCTGTCATCGCCAGATTGCGCTTGATGACGCCCTGCAGTAGGTTCCGGAGCTGGGGCTTGGGCAGCGACATCTCTGGACAGAGAAAAGAAATGTCACAGCCACCTTGAGCAGATCACATGAACTACCATGTCTGAGGTGCACATATTTCAGACATGGCTGTGGAGCAGGTAGTTTTCAGGTTGGTGAGCATCCCCAACACCAAACAGGTGCTTGGGTCATGCTGAACATGTTATTATGATGCTCACTAACAGGCCTGTGCTAGAAATGAGTGATGGAGAACAGCTGATGTACATCCACCAGCAAAACTACCTTCAGCTTTTCACACACAGTCATTATGAACATGAAATATTTCAGATTATTTCCTGCCCTTAAGCCCTTGTGCCAGCAGGCAGCCCTGCCCAGTATGGCTATCAGGTGTCCTAAATTCTAAAAGTTTTGCAACCACCAACTGCAGGCCCATGTAGTCCTTACAAACAAGCTATTTCTTAAACATTTGTGTTACATAAATCATTATTTTAAAGAAAGTGTTCTATATTTATGTGAGGATTCAGACTGAAATAGCCATCTTGAAGATCATTTGGTGCAGTTCACAGGCCTGCCCTTCCTGAAACCTGAAACCCTTTTATTTCTGTGCCACACATCCATGAAAATGTAGACTATTTCAAGGTCAACCAGCTATCCATGATGCCTTTACAATACCATTCAAATCCTGCCATTCCATTGGCCATGCAAGGATCAAGGCTCACAAAATATAATTGTTGAGCCCTTCATTCTGGTGCATGTGGACACAATTTCCAGGTACAATGGTTGTCAATTGGCCCCCAATCAATCCTGTACAGGGCACAATCATGCAATCACACAATGTTGTATTGAGGGGTATATATATCAAATAGGAAAATTAAGTTGTCTTGAGAAGTCCCTTTCATTTAAAAGGATACCAACAAGTGAAGTACCACAATCATACTAGATACATGACTAATACCAAAAGTGTACCTTGGCTTATTTCATAATATTTCATGGTCACTTCAATATCCTCAAATATGGAATATTCCATTTAAGTTAATTTCCTCAAAGTTCCTTCCAGTGATAATACCTGGTGTGGATAAAGAACAATTGACTGCAGTGAGTGCCAGCTTTTAAAAGAATATGGTGGCCTAGATAAAAAATAAAACATGTTTTCCCCAAAATTGGCAAGCATATTTGCTACAAAATCATGGCTGTTGTAGTTGTACAATGTGGCCACCACCAGTAGGAGTCATCAGCACTCACTTATTTCAATTTCACTAATGCTGCAATAAACTGACTGCAATATGTGGCACCTTTTAAAAATACAGGGTGGCCTGGCTCAAAATAGCATGTGTTTTCCCAACAGTAGGAAGTGTATTTCCTGCATTATCATGCCTATGGCGGTTATACAACAGGACCACCAAACAGAGGGAGTCATTAGTGCCTCCTTGCTTGGATCTAATAAGATTTTATCCTATGACTTAACAAAATCTTGTACATAAATTCAAGCAAACAAAGCTGTGGGAGAAATCAGTTTTGGGAGCAGAGCAGGTCAATCCTTTTAGCAAAGCCCCAACCTCCAAAGAAATTTTAGAAAATGACACTCCTTCTTCTGTAGCATAATGATGGTAATCCCAATAGGCAAAGCCTGCCTGGCTATGACATTTCCTTGATGCTTGGGACCAGCTTTGTCATTCTTCTATGGACATACATCTGCTTC